ATTTAGGTGTCACTAGGAGTATATATATATTTATATTAAGAAGTTTACCGAGACTGATGCCAATATTTATTTTGAAAGAGATATATAAGATAGCAAGGGTAAAGTAATTATTTGGAGTATTAAAAATGAAAGTTATAAAAACTGAAATTGAAAATGTACTTATATTTGAACCTGCTATTTTTGAAGATGATAGAGGTTTTTTTTATGAAAGCTATAACAAAAAAAAGTTTACAGAGCTCACTGGCATTGTTGAGGATTTTGTACAGGATAATCATTCTAAATCGATTCAAGGGGTGATTCGTGGATTACATTTTCAAAAGGAACCTTGTGCCCAAGGAAAGTTAGTGAGATGTATTAGAGGAAGTGTATTTGATGTGATTGTAGATATAAGACCACAATCTGAGACCTATGGTAAATGGATAGGTATTGAATTGACAGAAAAAAATAAAAGGCAAATATGGATCCCGGCAGGATTTGCCCATGGGTTTCAAACATTAAGCCTTGAAGCTGAATTTTTATATAAAACTACTGGTTACTATTCTCCAAAGAATGAAAAATGCATTATTTGGAATGACGAAACACTAAACATTAACTGGCCGTTAGATAATGTAATTTTATCTGAAAAAGATGCAGAAGGTTTAACTTTAAAAGAATGGCAGCAAGAGATGGCATATGGAAATTAAATTTATTCCACTTCAAAAACATGGCGATGATAGAGGTTCATTAGTTGCCCTTGAAGAAGAAAATAATATCCCATTTACAATCAAACGTGTTTACTATTTATTTAATACTAAAAGAAATGTTGTAAGAGGATTACATGCCCATAAAAAGTTGATGCAAGTTGCAATTGCAGTGAGAGGCTCTTGTCGCTTTCTGCTAGATGATGGAAAAGAAAGAATTGAAATACTCTTAGATAATCCTGCCCAAGGTTTACTTATTGAATCCTTCATGTGGCGTGAGATGTATGACTTTTCGGATGATTGCGTATTAATGATATTAGCCGATAGCCATTACGATGAAGATGATTATGTAAGAAATTATGATGATTTTATTCGGTTAGCCCACAAAAAATAAAAAGATATTAGGAGTAAGGATGATTAATTTTTTAAATCTTAAAACATTGAATCAAAAGTATAGCCAAGAATTAAATGAAGCTTGTAAAAGAGTAATTGATTCGGGCTGGTATATTATGGGGGATGAGCTTGAATCGTTTGAAAGGAACTTTGCAGAATATTGTGGGACTCGCCATTGTATTGGTGTGGCTAACGGCTTAGATGCATTAACACTTTCACTTAAGACTTGGAAGATTTTGGGTAAACTGAAGGATGGTGACGAGATCATTGTTCAGGCTAACACATATATAGCCTCTATTTTGGCGATTACTGCAAATAATTTAAAACCTGTTTTGGTTGAACCCTCAATAGAAAGTTATAACCTCAGCAAGCAAAACATACTTGATGCGATAACTGAAAAAACAAAGGCTATTTTACCTGTACATTTATATGGGCAAATATCACCAATGGAAGATATTATGTCCATTGCAAAAAAATATGATCTTATAGTACTCGAAGATTCTGCACAGGCACATGGGGCATCTATCAATGGCAAACGAGCAGGGGGCTGGGGAAATGCCTCTGGTTTTAGTTTTTATCCAGGAAAAAATTTGGGCGCTCTAGGTGATGCCGGTGCAATAACTACAAATTGCGATGAATTCAATGATGTGATCAAGGCGCTGCGAAACTATGGTTCTAATAAAAAATATCATAACTTATATGATGGAGTGAATAGTCGTCTTGATGAAATACAAGCGGCAATACTAAACGTTAAACTGAAATACTTAGATAATGAAACTAATATTCGACGGGAAATTGCTAATTATTACATCAATAATATTGATAATAAAAATATTATCATGCCGTCTTTAAAAAACGAAGAAAATCACGTTTGGCATTTATTCGTTATTCGATGTAAAAAAAGAGAGTTGCTGATTAAACATTTAATTGAAAATGGGGTTCAAACATTAATTCATTATCCCATTCCACCTCATAAGCAAAATTGCTTTAGGTCTTGGAATAATTTAGTTCTCCCTATTACTGAGATGATTCATGATGAAGTTCTGTCTATTCCATTAGATTCAACATTAACACAAAAGGATGTCGAAAGAATAGTTTCTTCAATAAATTCTTTTAAATCATGAAAAAAATACTAAGCATTTCTTTACTTTCCGGTATCATGACACTTATAAAAATGGTTATGGGGTTTGCTATTTCAAAAATAGTTGCAGTGTATGCAGGAACCAGTGGAGTTGCTCTTCTAGGACAAATGCAAAGTGCTATACGAAGTTATTACGGATTATAAATTCACCCGTAGGTAATGGGGTTATAAAATTCACATCAGAAAATAGTCATGATTTTGAAAAATGCTCGCCATACTGGCGAGCATCAATCTTATATGTTATGTGTTTCTCTACAATTATAATTATAGTCGGATGTTTTTATGCGCAGGAGATATCCTTACTTCTTTTTGGACATAGTGATAATTACTGGATCGTTTTATTAATGGTATTTGTAGCTCCTATAACATCTATAGGGACGCTAATTAATTCAATATTGAACGGTTTAGAAAGCTACAAGCAGTATGTTTATACAGGCATTATAGCTTCTGTACTTTCAGGTCTAATAATGATCTTTGTGATTGTTAATTTCGGTATAGTTGGCGCGTTAGTTGGTGCTTCACTTCAATATGCTTTAATAGGAATTATATCTTTCATTATTAATATATATCAGCCTTGGCTGAAGATTGGCTATTTAATAGGTAAAATTAGCACAGATGTTAAGAAGAATATAGCAGAATATATATTTATGGCTATAGTTAGTGCTGTATCGTTACCATTAGGTATGATTTTAATTAGAGGCTTTTTAATAGAATATACCGGTTGGAAAAATGCTGGGGAGTGGCAAGCTGTTTGGAAAATATCTGAGGCTTATTTGAGTGTAATTACAATGGGGCTATCAGTTTACTATCTTCCAAGACTCAGTTCTTTATATGATCATAACTCTTTGGTTCGTGAAGTAAAATCTGTCGCATCAATTGTATTACCAATAGTTTCATTGATGGCTGTTGCGGTATATATCCTAAGGGATTTCTCAATTTCATTATTGTATACTGAACAGTTCAGAGAGGCAAGGGAGTTATTTAAAATCCAATTAATAGGTGATGTTATAAAAGTTATTAGCTGGGTATACGCCTATCCAATGATAGCAAAAAAATCAACAAAACTATTTGTATTTACCGAGATTGTGTTCACCATAACCTTGGTTCTTTTAAGTTATTTTTTTATAAAAAAATATGGCGTACATGGAGCTAATTTAGCATATGTACTAAATTATATATTATATTTCATATGTGTATATATTCTACTGAATAAAGCTATAAAAAATTAATCTTTATTATTGAAGGGGGGGCTGTGATAACCTTAATAGTTTTATCGTATAATCATCGCGAGTTTATAGTAGAAACACTAAACTCTGTATATAATGTAAATTTGCAAAAAAAAGTGATCATTATCGATGATGGGTCATCTGATGGATCATGCGAGATTATTGAAAAATATATTGAAAGATATAATTATCAATCTATCACCAGGTTTTTCAGAAAGGAAAATGCCGGTTTAGTAGACTCTTTAAATATGTCGCTTAAGCTTATTGATACAGAGTATGCATTCTTTATCGCATCAGATGATATTATTAACCCTTATGGATTCACTTCAATGTTTCAGACAATGCTGGCACATGAAAACATGAATATAGCAATTGGAAATGCTTACGTGTTATATACTGGAAAAACACCCGAGCAAAAAGTTTATGGAAAAGAACATTTTGACTTCTTCTCTAAAAAAGATAGCGAGATCAGGAAGGATATTTTTATAAATTTCCCCAAACCGTTGCTGTTACAAAGCACTATTTTTAAAACGGCTTGTTTGAGAGATGTTGGAGGATGGGATTCCAAGCTTGTATGGGATGATTATCCGATGTTTGTTAAATTATTTATGAGAAATTCTTTTGATAGGGGGAATATATTTTTTTTTGCTGATCTTGTTGTTTCTTTCTATCGGCAGCATCAGTTTAATACATACAAAAATTTATTAAAACAATTGTCTATGGTTGAAGAAACATTTAAATCAATAGTCCCACTAAAGTATTATAAAGATGCGATTTCAAACCAGTATGCTTTCTACTTTTTACTATCTTTACGCGAAAAAAACAATAAAGCAATAAAGAAAATAATTAAAGTTATTGTTTGTGAAAAGTTATTTTTTTATTTTGCAAAGTATTTCTT